TAACTGACTAGGCAGTAGTACACTAATGAAAACAATGTGTCTGGAGAGCACAGTGAAATACTAAGCATATGAGCAAACAAAATGCTGTCAAAAATTTACAACTCTCTTCGAATTACTAAAACAACTGTTATTACACAGGGAAACAACTACTCTGTCCTTTCTCAAAGCCTCAGAGCACTAATGTCCTAATTAAATGCTATGCTTTAAGTAGTGTGTAGACAGACAAAAATCCAGTAAAGAATGTTACAGGGTGTTTTTAAAAATTTGCACAAAGAAGCTATAGGTCTCTTTTAGTACAAAATTATCATTATAAAGACATCAAAAAAAAACCTAAGACAAAAACCTGAATATATATTGGAGAGGAAAGATGCAGCAAAACCAGCTTAGGCATGAAACAAATAAGTACTTAGAGGAAACCTGTGAAAGTTACTTCTCTAGAGGTTTTTAAGAGCAGAAGAGTCAAGTCTCTGCCAAGAGTAATCCATCTACACACAACACTACCTGAAGAAAGTACTGGGTGATGTCCTGAGGTCCCTTCCAACCAAACAGATCTATTACTCTGTGAAGTGCTGTCCTGGTTTCAGCCAGGGTAGAGTTAGTTTTCTTCACAGAAGCTACTGTGAGGCTACGTTTTGGATTTGGGATGAGAAAAATGTTGATAATGTGCTGATGTTTTGAGTTCTTGCTAAGTAGTCAAGGACAGTCCAGCTTCTCGTGCTGGCCTGCTAGCAAGAAGGCTGGGGGCGCACGGGGAGCTGGGAGGGGACACAGTTGGGACAGCTGACCCAGGCTGGCCAAAGAGATATTCCATACCATATGACATCATGCTCAGTATGTAAAGCTGGGACGAAGAAGAAGAAAGGGGTGGAGGGATGTTCAGAGTGATGACGTGTGTCTTCCCAAGAAACCATTACGCCTGATGGAGCCCTGCTTCCCTGGAGATGGCTGAACACCTGCCTGCCCATGGGGAGTGGTAAATGAATTCCTTGTTTTGCTTTGCTTGCATATGTGGCTTTTGCTTTACCTATTAAACTGTCTTTATCTCAAACCATGAATTTCCTCACTTTTACTCTTCTAATTCTCTCCCCTGTCCCACTGTGGGGGAGTGAGCAAGCGGCTGCATGGGGCTTAGTTGCTGGCTGGGGCTAAACCACAACAAGTGCCAACCAATTATAGAGACATCTGCAAACTGCCTGCTATTGAAGAAAAAAAAACCAAACACTACATTGCATTGAGCAATGAACAGTTTACATTAATACAATTCTTACCCTATGTGCAGGATCTAAATAAATTGTTTTAAGAGTTCAAAAAGTTGTTGAGTCCTCAAGGGACTCATGAAGAATAGACAGAATTAGGAAATTCTCTCATTGTAATTTAAACCATGGACAGAAGTAGCATAAATTTGTTCAGATATAAACTTCTAATCTAAATATATGTATGCTAAAGAAAAAAATTCTCACTTTTGCTCTGTTAAAACACCAGGCAAAGCTACATGGTGTAGCACTTTCTAATCCACATACTGGAAGTCCACACCCAAAATGTACAGTCTCTACTACTGTTATCCACTAGCATGAACTAATGAAATTTACATTGCCAGTTTAGTTTTACTAAATGCAAGGGTTTTTTACTAAAATTTTATGATGAGATTTATGCTCTTTCCATAAATAACTGTTTTAAGACAATCTGGTCAAATTAATTTTTCCAATACTTTTTTTTTTTTTTAACTACAGAAGTCCTAAATTATGATTGAAACACTTAAGGAGTATTTCACCAACAATATGTAGTCCAAATAAGTACAAAAAACAGTATCAAGAGGATATACTCTAACTGGAGGGAGGTGGCAGGAATCCACACTGATCAAGTTATGTAAGAGTCTGCATTTGATTTGCCTTACTTGGAAAGCAACTGAAAAGGGCTTGCTTCCTACTGTAAAGGTATCAAATTCCTTGAGGAGGGGGGGAATAAACCAAGACTGGAGATAGCTTTGATACTTCAATGATTATTACAGAATCACAGAATCACAGAAACACTAGGTTGGAAAGGACCTTCAAGATCATCAAGTCCAACCATTAATCCAGCGCCACCATGTCCCCTAGACCATGTCCTGAAGCGCCACATCCACACGTTTCTTGAACACTTCCAGAGATGGCGACTCCACCACCTCCCTGGGCAGCCTGTTCCAATGCCTGACCACCCTCTCAGTGAAGAAATTTTTCCTAATATCCAATCTAAACCTCCCCTGGCGCAACTTGAAGCCATTTCCTCTTGTCCTATCGCTAGTTACTTGGGAGAAGAGGCCAACACCCTCGTCGCCACAAGCCCCTTTCAGGTAGTTGTAGAGAGCGATAAGGTCTCCCCTCAGCCTCCTCTTCTCCAGACTAAACAACCCCAGTTCCCTCAGCCGCTCCTCAGAAGACTTGTGCTCCAGACCCCTCACCAGCTTCGTTGCCCTTCTCTGGACACGCTCCAGCACCTCAATGTCCTTCTTGCAGTGAGGGGCCCAAAACTGAACACAGGATTCAAGGTGTGGCCTCACCAGTGCCAAGTACAGGGGCACAATCACTTCCCTACTCCTGCTGGCCACACTATTCCTGATACAGGCGTGACTAAGATAATTAGTCACATTATGCACTGAATTGGTTATTTCTTATATTTAAAAAAAAATTAGATGATACTGAGTTACTACATCATCGTATTTGTGCTGTAATGAAGGATGACCTACAATCAACAAATAATTGTGAAAACTTACAGAAAGTCTGAAAGAGAAACATTCAAAGACATTACAATAGCTTTAAAACTTTAGTAACTGCTGTTCACAAGATGTAAATCTGTTTTTATAACAACGTATTTGCTTTGGTTTTACTTTTAAATTGCACTAAGTAGTCACAAGAGGTCATCATATTAAAATCTACAGGAAAAAAACAAATAAATTGTTTTTACAGAAAACTACAGAAAACCTACAGAAAACATGCTGTATCACTTTGATTAAAAGGAACTGGTTTCACTTACGTAGGCAAGTTTGGCTTACAAGCCACAACTATAATAAAAAAAAACATATAAACCATTTATTAGAAATTTTGTCTCTTGCTTTGTTTTAAATGAAATATTCAGCAGCGTATTACGATAAGTGGCAGACAAATGCAATCCAAAGCTCTGCAAAGTTTACAGCGCAACATCCAGAATTGCTTGACTTTGTCCCACCACAATACTTAAACTAATTTTCCTCTCTCTGTTGCATCTTGCAATAAAGTTGGAATGATTAACAATCTGTTTTACTTCTCCATCTTTCTATGAATTATTGAGGTGGTTCACAGCAGCACCATTACTTTCTTGTCCTGAAAACTATAGCGATTAATACAGTGCTAAATTAAATAAGAACGATAATTTCAGATTTGTGAGATTAATTTTAATTAGTTTTTTAAAAAAAAGAATCCTGGGGGGAAAAAAACACCCAAAATGTAGGTAAGTGAATTCAACCACATCATTTTTATCTTAAAAATTGGGCCAACACTTGTCTGTCATTTTTATTAAACGACTCTTTGAACAAAATGTATGTTCAACAAAAAGTGTTGAACAAAATATATTCTAACAGAGCATGTAAAAGAAAAGAAACTAAGCCTAGTGATTTTTTTCTCGTATATTTATATTTACATGTAGTATCTCCATCCAAATTAAAGAAACACTGTGAGTCAAAGACTGCAATAATTGAGACTGTGACCACTATATGGAAAACCTTCCACCATTCTACTCTATATGTCCAAAAATAAGCCTACATAGATATCTATTATGAGCATGTGTTTAGCACATTGCATCTAAACAACTGGTTAATGAGGAATCTGGGGCTTTTTTGTTTGCTTGTTTGGTGGTTTGTGTTTTGGGGGTTTTTTTGGGGTAGTGGTGGTGTTGGGTTGTTTGTTTTTAAGTGCAACCTTTCCTGCCACCAGTTTAGATCATTTTGAAGGATCTTACCCTTCTACATTATAATCTTAAAATCTATAATAAGTTATTCTTGATTTACATTAAGGACCAAGCGGAAGAAAGAAAAAAAAACAAATAACCAAGCAAAAAACTCAAATAAGTTAGGTAGGTGGGGGAAAAAGAAAACATACCTTCATAAATCTGAAACAAATATTATCACAAGCCCAGAACTATACAGCTTTTACATTTGTTGAGTCTTCTAATCTAAATGGGAGGTAGGAACTGTAAATCAAGCACTGCACTGGTAACTAATGAAGTTAAACACAATCACATGCCATGTGTTCTAATAATTTAAATAATTAATTGCTGCTTTCTTTCTCCTCTCCTCCCTCTCAACTACGAGGACTAACATCAAGGAATTTTAACAAAAGATATCTTCAACATAAATACAATTCACAAAATACATCTGTATGAAATTCTAGTCAATAGAACTTCAGAACTACGTAGCTCTAATGTAGCAAGCCATGTTGCTATGTATTTCATCCTGACTAGTACCATCATCTCAAAATATGAGTACGTATTCTTTCAAGTTAACTTTTCATCCTTTTGACTCATGCCAAAAGAAAGCTGACGAGTGGCAGCATTTTACCTGAAACATCTGTATTTGCAACACCAATTACCTCACTGCACTAATTTGAACTTTCTTTAAACCCAGTGGCAAATTGGTCCCAAGAGCTGCCTTTACATTTGGGAATCCTACAACACTTCCCAGTTCCTCTAGTTGTGCTATACAATTGCATCCCAACTCCACATCAAGATGAGTCTTAAACACAAAGCATTCCTCACTTTTTCTGAGGAAAAAAAACCCTGGACAAACTGGCCAGACAGAACCTGTGGTAAACTCCCCAGTTTCCCAACACAAAAGCTCAGGGAACCAGAACCTCAGGACACACCAAAGTGTAAGATCGAAAAGTTTTTTGGACTTAAAGCTTATTTTCAAAAATCAACTCACCCATGAGTTTCAAAAAGCAGCTATCAAAAAGATACACTGCTAGTTCAGATGATTTACTCAGACTACATACCTGCAATAGGTCTCCTTCATCGAAACGCAGCATTTCTATTATGCCATCTGACTGGATGAAAGCTGTGAAAAAAAAAAAAACAAACCAAAAAGCTAAGTAACTTACCAGAAAAACATTTTGTTATTAAACTAAAAAGAGCAACTTAAACATCTAAAATCTGCTCTACCTCGTTTTGTAGATAGAGCTATGACAAACCAGAACAACAATGCAAGAGTAACAAAATACTAAACACAAATCTGTGATACTAATTCTCCTCTGAGAGCTCCAATTCCAAGATGTTCATATTAATAAGTACCACACTTCACAGATCAGTCTCCCGGCATGAAAATGTTTAACTCCAAAGTGAACAACTTGTTCTAGGTTTCCTAAAAAGACTGTCTATACCAAGCTAACTCAGTACTTCAACCAATACGGCTGATTTGGTACCTAAACAACTGAGTTTAATACATCTAAGTCGACAAAGAATTCCAACACTTACAAACAGAATTTCAGTTTCATTTATAAACATAAAATCTTAACTGTGCATCTGGAAAGCCTTGTTCACACTGTTCCCTAATCCTCAGCATGGCAACAATTCTCTCCATCTTGACAGTAACATAATAAAATTTGAAACAGTTTAGAAGTGTTTGCACCATATGACTAAACTTGATGAAAAGTTCATGCCTCAGTCACATATAGGATCCTCAAATTAAGCATTCCTCCTCCACTCATTTCCTCTAAATGTTTGGTCAGGCAATTGTTACTCAATTCCTTTCAAAATGTAGGGAATGCTACTTTCTTTTAAAGACAAAGAAAAAAGGGCATTGCCCTTCCTGTAAAATATAATAATCTACAAGAATGAACATGAGTTAAAGAGGAGAGAAAAGTTCAAAGAGGTCTAAATTTTACTCCCCAAAAGACTATTCATACACACAAAAAAGCAGGTCTTCAGGATAAAATACAGTAACAACCTCAAACCAGAAAATTGTTATTAAAAAAACCCACATATAATTAACTCCTCCCCTACATTAAGACCTTTTTCCATGGCTGCCTTTACTGGTCAGCTAGATAAAGTTGAGAGAGTGGTAACACACCCCTCTTTCCGCAAAGAGGAACAACTTCAACAGGAAGAAGTAAAGATTTCCCAGCACACAGAAGTTTCATGTGTGCTTCTGGAAGATAGAACTTGAATCCCAGTCTGAAAAAGCAGATTTAAACCTTCATCTCCCAGTCTGAAGGTCAGTGTTCTAACAAGAACAATTATTATAAGGTCATCAACATCGCCACTTGTCTCTATGATGTTTTAAAAGAAAAAGTGACATTTCCTCACTGTCTGCTTTAGTTGACACCTCAGCTTAGCACACAAAATTCAATCTGCTACTTAATATGTCACTGTTCGCACATCCCATTCTGCATCCCTAACTCCCCCCATATTTTGATACCTTCTCCTAAAAGGTAAAAACTCCACTACCTTGCTTTCATATGACCAACAGTAAAAGTTGATAGCAGCAATTTTTGCTTTATGTTACCTCCAAAAGTCTCTTTTGGTATGCAAAAACCCCAAACAGCAAAATTTTATACAATTACTTTCCAAGCTACCATACCTCAGAGTTCTAACGTTTAGCAACATCGGCTGAGAAAGCAGCCCATTTTATGTGGAAGAGTGAAAATCACCGGGGGGCGGGGGGGTTTGTGTGTATCAGATTATAATGGAGGACCTCTGATTATAAACAATATGCATGTCCTGCAATAGTAACAGTCACATGAGCGGTACTAGTCAGTCATGTCAGCAATATCTTAGTGGTCTATTTATCTTGGAATTCATTAAGGTAATAACAAACAAAAGTCATCCTTAATCCAAGAATTGAGGGCTTGGTCAATCATTTATACTGACACATTATACAGAACATAGGGCAAGAGATTAAAAAAAAGCATTTAAACATCTGTTACTAGATCAAGTCCTACAGATTATGAAGATTTAGGCTTTTGAAACTTAAATTACTGGAGTAGGTCAATCAGTTTAAAGTTTAATTCTAGAAACAAAGAACGAGTGGATTCTTGTCAATTTAACTGGCAATACAGATGTAAGACATTCAAGTCACTGTTTAATTTTGTCTTTAAAACCACTCAAAAAAAAAAATCTGTAAGTGAATTGCAGCACAAGATGTAAGAAAATGAAGCTTTGACATGTTAAGTTAAAAAGTGAAGTATGACAGCTAGTCACAATTTCATAGAAATGTCATGACCATCCTCTGTGCAAAAACCCCCAAATTACAGATTAGCTGATATGGAGGGGAAAGTCTCAGTCTTTAACTTAGGGAGAAATCCAGAATGAAATTATGTTTTCCCAGGTATTCAAATTATTGCAAGTTTAACAATCACAATTTCATAAAAGAATTTATCAATATGAACATACTTTCCTAATAGTCACAAGCAACTGCACCTCTGAGGTTGGGCTTTTTGTGATTCTCTCGTTTTCTAGCTCTCTGCTTTGGAAACAAATACACAGAACTTGACTATGACATCACGCACAAACAAAAAAAATCATTAGAAAACAGCTTTATATATTCACAATCTGTCAACCACCAGTAAATCATAAGAGGGTATTTCAGCAAATCACAAGTTCTCAGTATTTTCCTGAAGCTTTTTTTCCCTGTTTTAATATGATATACTGTAGGTACAAAGAGGAGAAAGTAGCAATGATTCTTCCACAAGGTTAACACACACAGAAGCTCAGAGAAACTAGCCAAAGCTTTCTACCCAAGCAGCTTGAATGCAGGCAGCCCTTCTGTAAACCCCAAACACTTCCTCAGCCACTCTTCAGTTATTTCATCTTTGTGGAAACTTACGAACAAAGCAACAGATGTTACAGACATTTTGAGCGGATGACACTGTTAAATAGAAGTGCCATTCATCATTATATCATTTAAGAAATGTCTTCAGAGAGCAGATGACAGTTAGTGCCAGGTGAAGTCAGATGCACTGCAAAGCTTGGCTGCTGGCCATTTCGCAGCAGTCGCATCTCAACTCAAGACTGTGATGAAGCTTCTGTGGTGATACCTTTTACTTTGTTTTAGACTAGCTCTCAAGCCTTTGTTTCTACTTTATCGGTTATTTCATCAAAGCAAGGAAATGACAAGTAAATACCTACATCTTTGTGAGACAAAAGCTTGTTTTTGCAACTGACTTCTCAGACTCAATTTGGGATGAAGCAACCAGTCACCTCATTCAAATGAGGCAAAGCCAATTACATTTTAAAAAAGCTCCACTGACGAGTCATAAAGAATCATCCAAATCCCTGTAAGAGCAGCTCTCACACTGCCCAATATGGACCACAGAGAGGACAAAAGTCTTCTTCAAAGTGACCCGAAGAGCAGAATGCTTCCGAGTACTTGCCCATTCCAGAATTAGCAGCTGTGGCTCACCATTTGCACTTGTACTACCTGAGCTAAGCAAGTTCACAAACTTCTTGCCAGTGCAAGTCCAACAAGTGTCTTTTCTGCCCTTTTACACAAAATATGTATGTCACCAATAGAGAATAGGTTATTACCAATGCCAAAAGACTCTGCAAGCAATTAAGTATGAGATCACTTGGACATGCTTTATTAGGTGAACCATTCCCCATGCTACAGAGGAAGATGACTGTTTCTGCGAAGTCACTAACAATTTCTCCTGGAAAAACTTCTTTCCAAAGTCCAGGCTGATACCATCATGCTCCATTGTCAGTCTAATGCTGTAGCCAATACTTTAATACTCTGGAATAGTAAACTGCAACAAATTAAGAACTGCTGACCATGCCATTTCGGTCACCTCTGACACATGACTGGCAACTGCTACAAGAGGGGCACAACATAACATTTGGGGTAGGAAGCATTTCAGCTGTCACAGCGTGATCTGCCACTGCACAAATCAGCAGCCAAGAAGCCAAATTACACATTAGGAAAATAATTTCTTCCTGACCTTACAGGCAATTGAAGCCCTGAAGGCTCATTATAATAGTTATTAGTCAAACTTTAAATGTTACTAGCATGTTCATAGCCCAAAGAAGGAAAAGGATGAAGATTCATACCCACAGATCTCAAGACCAGAAGACTCAGTCTCCTTTCCTCCTCACCTATGCTCAATAGAGTATTTTCTTCTAAGAGGTATACACAGATCCCTTTCAGCAGAAAACCTCTATCCTTTCAAGCACCTGCAAGAAGCAAATTTATCAGATTCATGAGAATCCACGACAATTTCAGCCACTCTCACTACTAGGACATTAAGTGATTTCAGGGTGAAATTTTTCCAGCTTCTAGCTTGCATATCCTGCTTTCCTCTTTTCAGACAGTAGGTCACTATTAAAAGAAGTGATATAAGCAACAGCAGATGCTAAAAATAGTGTGTTTCATTTTCTGTTTGTTTTCAATTTACACCATTTAAAATGCAACCTCTTTGCTTAAGGTGCCTTTTCTATGAAAAGCCCATAAAAGATAATCAGAAAAAGCCTATGAATGTAGGTCTTCCCACTTGCTTCAAAACACCTTTTTCTCCAGAGGGCATTTTCTAAGCTTTTCCAAACTCTTTAAAAAAAAAAAAAAAAAAAATCGCAAAAAAAACCCCACCACCACCAGAGCCATAACTGCTGCCCCCCAAACCACAGCTTTCTGGAACAGCAAAAACACTATCTAGTCGTTATTGCCAGTAAATTTCAAAATGCTTTCCCCTGCCCTTATCAACAGCATTCACAATGCCTGATGGTAAACACTTAAGTAATAAAAATGGAAACAACAATGGCCTAAAAAGATACTGCACTCACTTAAATTCCTCAAAGCTTAAGCAGCATCTTCTCACAAGTTTATACAGCTAGTAGCCAAATTTTGCTCAAACACATTCCTATTTTAATTGTCTCTGGTCCAAGCCTTTTATACTTTAGCTTAAAATAAGACAAGTACAGACCTATGAAGCAACAAGTAACATGAAGAAAATTTTAAAATCCTACACTTCTCCAAAGTAAACTGGAACTTAATATCAAAATCACTTTAGCCAACAGTAGTCTTCAGATATCCCTGAATTGCACATAATAGAATACATTTGCATGTAA